TCTTCTTCTTCTTCTTCTTCTTCTTCCTCTTCTTCTTTTTCTTCTTCCTCTTCTTCTTCCTCCTCCTCCTCCTCTTCTTCTTCCTCCTCCTCCTCCTCCTCTTCTTCTTCCCTATCCTCTTCCTCCTCTTCTTTCTTCTTTCTTTACTTCATCCTCCTCCTTTCTTCCTCTCATCTTCTTCTTTCTTCCTCTTTTCTTCTTTCCCTCCTCCTCCTTTCTCCCCCTCCTCCTCTCCTCCCCCCACTTTCTTTTTTTCCTCTTCTTCTTCTTCTTTCCCTCCTCCCCTCCTCCTCCTTTCTCCCCCTCCCCCCCCAATACTCAGCAGTTTGACATTAACACATCCTGCTCTTCAAAGTTTCTTAGCCTTGAATTAAAGAATTGAAATGAACAGTGTGTTCCAGCTGGAAGGGTGAAGGAAGAAATCTGCAAGAACAACTTTGGAATGTCTCCTTTTCTCTGTTTAATATTTGCATGTTGGATATTTAAACAATATTTTATTTTTCTTTTCAAAAAATAAAGGTTAATTTCATTTATCCATTCTGAGATTGGGCTATCTTCTAAGGAACTAAGGAAAATGAGCTGAATTCATTGGCCAGACACACACACACACAAAATTTTTGTCAATGACAGCACAAGATGTGAAAATCCGAGCACTTACTCATATATACCAATGCTGTATAATGATTAAAGTGTTGGACTAGAACTGGAAAAACCCAGGTTCAAATCCATTCTCAGTCCTTGAATAGTTTTGGACCAGTCATTCTTCTTAGGCCTATTTGCTTTATAGAACGTTATGAGGAAAAAATGGAGAAATTGTATATATGCTTTCCCTGAGCTCTTGAAGTGAAGAGGGGATATAAATTTAACAAACATACATTGTGAAATATCCTAGCTTCATTTGAGGCTGACACTTGGTCATTTTCTGGAGCCAAGTCAAATTTTTAATTATTTCTGTAGCTTTTTACAGAATAATTTAAGCACAATTAAAGTACTACTTTCATTTTCTATATACTGTTTTTGGTCATTAGGGGTTTTCTTACATTATTGATCTTCTTTCTACCGATCTTAGCTTATGTGCATTATAAGAAAAATACATGGAGTTGGTGAACTATTTTGGAAAAAATAATATTATTGTAATCCTACTTAAGGTTTTCTATTAACAGTTACCAATTTAGAGGAACAGCAAATATAATGGAATTACTTTTTTTGCAAATATTCATAGGAAAGTTAGAAGAACCCTGAGTGAATGCACATTGCAAGTTCCTCCAAATTGTTTGAATGATGATATTGTCAGTGTCCTTGGGGTTTTCATGGCAAAGATCCTGGAGTCGGTTGCCATTTCCTTCTCCAGTGGATCAAATTTTGTCAGAGTTCTCTGCTATGACCTCTCTGTCTTGGGTGAGCCTGCATGGCATAGCTCATAGCTTCATTGAGCTATGCAAGCCCCTTCACCACACCAAGACAGTAAACCATGAAAGACTCATTGGAGAAGAGCCTAATGCTGGGAACAGTTGAGGGCAATAGAAGAAAGGGATGACAGAGAATGAGGTGGCTGGATGGAGTCATTGAAGCAGTAGGCATGAGCTTAAATGGACTCTGGGGGATGGTAGTCGTTGTCCATGGGGTCACGATGGGTCGGACACGACTTCGCAACTAACAACAAATTGTCAGTTGTAGGCTTCATTTCAAACCATAAGAATGTCAATCAGATCAAGACTGGCTTTGCATCCTGTGATGAACCAGCATCTCCACGTAGCACAATAATTTCTTGTTCTGTACCTCAGTACATCTGCTTCTGTCTGATGCTGGCATTAGTAGATATCTGATATGAATAACAGGCATTGATAACTTCTCCATAGCTTTTCAACCTGTTCAGCTTGATGGTGACCACTACTGTACACCTTGTAGTAGGAATTTCTTTGGTTAATGTGTAAAACTGTAAAAAAAAGCAAAAGCAAAATTTATTTTTTCTGTTCTGAACATCCCGCCATATTCATCTCCATTAATTAACCTGACTTTTCCTTTCTGGCTTTCTTTACACCGCAACATTGCTGGGTTTGTTTTTTTTAAAATCTAAACCAGGAAGCCCCAGACATTGTAATCTTATTTCATGGCCAAGTTCTTTTTTTAATTGTCTGGATACTTTTTCCTGTATTTTTCCACTTCAACAATAACTTTTTTTCTTTTTCAGATTTATATAAAGGCATTGTATTAAGTTGTGTTTTGATTTGGGGAATTCCATTGTTTCAAAAATTATCATTGTGTTTCTACTTGGGGTTTTCTATTAAAAGTTATTAATATACAGGGAAACAAGAAAGACAGGAAGAATGGGGAAGATAAATCTTTGCCAGGCCAACACACTACTATGTGTCATTTGTTTTCAGAGATGCACAGAAAACCATTTTGTCTATGAATGCTAGGTTTAACCTGACTTCAGAAAACAGCTAGTTATAACTATGCCTTCAGTTCATGACTTCAGTGCTTGAACTGAAAAGGGTATGATCTTATGACTGCAAAGGTAAAGTTTTCAAATTACACTTGACCCCTGGTGACCACATGACTGTGTTCACACTGATTTTTTTTTTTTTGCAAGAATATAAAAACAGTTTATTCCAGAATAATGATGATAAGTTTCTGGTCTGTTCTACCATTGCTTCTGAATTTAATCTACTGTGGCTGAATCATGCCTTAATTTTGTTTTATTTCAATCCTCCCTCTTTTTTTTTTAGTATTTTGCTTTTGGTTGATTCTAGTAAAAAATTTAACCAGCCTTGTGATGGATATAGAATTATACCTCTTAAATGAAATGTGGGAGCAAGCTTTAAGTATATGTGCTATACTGTGTTTTTATCAAATTTAGAGCATTAGGAGAGTAAAGGAGAGTATTTGTAGCTCAAGGTTGAAATATTAAATATTTGTAGCTCAAGGTTCAAATGTTAAATATTTGTAGCTCAAGGTTGAAATATTAAATATTCGTAGCTCAAGGTTCAAATATTAAATATTCGTA